CGTCGACGTCATCGGCGTCGTTACGACGACTACTACTATCGCGAGCACGACACCGGCGACGCGACGCGACGCGTCGTGTCCGTTCGCTCGATTCTCGCGCACCAACCCTCCCCTGCACAACCCCCCTTTCCCACAATTTTCTTTCCCGATTTCCCCTCGCCGGCAGTCCATCCCTACCGCCACCGGTACTCTCCTTCTCGCGCACGTGCGCGCGCATGGATCCATGCTGGAACGGAGAGAAGAGAGAACGCAGATTTTTCGACTGGCTTTTCTTCTACTCTCGCGCTTTTGGGAATGGGGTTGATTCCGATGGTATTTCGGGCTTCTAGGGATTTGGATTTTCGCTTTGGACAATTTTCAAACTTGGGGATATTTTAGATACCTGAAGCTGGCGTTAGGGAAGTTGGGATATTTGGGGATTTCGTGGTTCGAAGTTTGGGTAATCTGTATCGCAATTCGAGAACTAATTACATGGTTTGAAATTTGCATTCAATTCGATGGCACAAAATTGAAAGCCGAAGAAGTCAGAGCTCAGAAAAATTCAAACTTGGAGTAATTCAATCATTCCATAATTTAAAAAGCAGAATAACCAAAGAAATGCTCCGATTTTCAATTACACGAGAAATAGCATGCATATCGAATAAAGGATTCCGAGATGAAAGGAGTCTCGCGTTGCACGAAGTTGAAGGAACGTATGCTTGTAACGACCCGCACGATCTCTGCCCACCTTCCATCAACGAGCACGCAACAACGATGAAAATCAATGCTAGGAACAACGCGATTATACAGCATTGTGCGTGGTTACGGTAATGGGGTTACCAAGTTAATCGACGCAACCCTTGCTGCCGGAAAAACGAACCCCCCACGAATTTGTTTCGTTGCGATTGTCAATGGTTCGTGAATGAAGAGTCAAAGGCTGACAGACGCAGTGACGTGCCTCGAGTAATCCAAAGCCCTGTTTCTCGAAACGAACAGCAATACCGATATCAAGATCCAATTTTCCTCGACGAGTCCCTCGTTTCATAAACCGTATCGATAAACCTGAATTGAATGTACGCTCAAAAGTACATGTTCCGAAGATTGTATAAGTTGGTATGAAATAGCTGGTTTGAAGATTTGGGTAATTTATTTGGTATAGGGTTGCTAAAGTGAGATGATGGGGGGTGAAGGTAAGGGTTGAAGGGTTGTGTGCAGAATTTTTGGGAAATTTGTGGGGAGAAATTTTCAATGGAGACTGGTACAGTGGAGTCTAGGTTTGGAGATACGCTACTGAACGCACGTTCCACTTTGGACCCCTCGTCCTACCCCTCTGGCGTCCGTCGACCCGGCGTACGACATCGCAATCAATGAAGCTACGATTCACCGAGCAGTGCCGTAAAAATCACTGGTCCTTCCAGCCCCCGATTTCCAAAAAATTTTCCATTATGAAGAAATAATGAACATTCGTAAAATATATCGGTTAGGAACGCAGTCAGTTTATTACAAAATTTTTATTTTGTTCCCTGTATTATTCGATCGTTTCATATTTTATAGCGAATGTTTATAATTAATGTTGTAGCGCAAAATTAATATTATATGTCTTCAACTTTAAGCTGTAAATTAATTCCTCTGCACGGACCATTATGAAAAGCCTGGGGTGCTTGACCCAAATTACATCACTGGGATAACTTGCTCATTAATGAATTAATTAATGAATTGATTAAATCAATTGCGTCTGCTCTCAGTTTGCGTTCTTTAATTCCTTGTTTTTATAAAAGTTCAAATTTGTAAATACCTTTAACATAGCTTTAAACGGAGCCCAATTAGTCGGTCTTTACACAACTTTGCAAACATTCGTTTCGTATGTAAATATTATATATTAAATATAAATACTATAATGATGTATATTCACTGCTAATTAATCACTTCTGAATAAACACCTTTCAACATCTACTTGATGAAATATTTAGAATCTCTCCTGAAACCACTGAACTTACAATTTAACGAAAAGGTAATTAACGTATTAGATTCGAGAAATTTTATCAGATTTGTAAGATCTACCTTTCCTCGGATTGAATAGCTAATTAAGAATTCTATCAGCAATAATAATTTATGAATCGTAATTTAATTGGATTGCCAGATGTTTGAAGGGAGAGTGAAAAATCCGCGTTCGTTGTCGGAGGCGGTTGGGAAAGCTGGAAATCGTTGTCGCGTTTACGGAAGACGAAGGGAAATGCGCAAGCTCGTATTTTACGATCGGCCACTGGCTTCTTTGATAACACAGACGTTGGGGAAAAGTGTTCCCCGTTTTTCATTCCGCCACCGTTCGCTCTAATCTTCGAAGGGTGGACCGGCAACCACCGGCTACGAATTTATCGTTTGACGAAGTTGTGTTGACCCAAAGGCTTTCGGGCTCCGAAGGAACCCATCGAATACACACAGGCTTCTTAACATACATTCCTTTATGAAACATTGTTGCGGTCCGTTTTATATCAAGGATTAGATGGAAAATTAGTTTCTTAGAAGTTTGCGTTTCTACCGATAAATTCAAACGGCCCTGATGGAGTTTAACATTCTTCGGATCTTTAATATCGCCAAAGATGGAATTTTTACGTAAGCTGTACACATACGATCGTATATTAATCCTGATAGAAATTCGAATACCTTATCGAGTGTATGGAAAGCGTTGCACTGGGTAACCATATCTGGAAATAGACTGTACGAAGGTAGAAACGATAGTATAGTTAAAAATAGTGAATCAAAGTCATTGCAAGTTCGTGATCGTAATTGTTTCCACGGAAATGCTAGCGATGTGCACGCGAGCATAGAGGTAGTAGGAAATTTCGTATTCGATGCAAATGCGTGCTTCTACATTGTTTGATCCGCGATAAAATGAGTGTTGTAATGCGCAGCGTATAAACAATGCACGAGCTCATCGGATAATACCTTCTACAGTGTCCACTCGAATATATTGCAGTCGATAAAAATGAACATCCATTTGTAACAATATTTTACCCGGAATTTATAACCTTTCACGATGCATCATTGCAACATTTTGTGGAGCATATTTTTCACGGTGAACGATTGCAAACATCAAACCTTCATCTGAAATTTATCGCTTTCTTTATCTACAAACTATGGAAATGAAAATTTTCAAGAACCCTTATGAATGTTCATTTATTCGCGTCTGACCATTCATGCCGGTGTTTATCATTGTTTAACGAATACATCAATTTGTTACACCAAACTGTCGTTATTGGAGCTGATTTAGCAACCGTCCATAAATCTTCAGTTTGATAAGGGTTGAGTAATCGAGAAAAACTCGTGTGCCGTCAGTTAACATCGAGTTTACAGCCGGCATTCAGCTCCGATAATTTCGAGCGATCGTCGACCTTTGCACTTCGCTGGCTCTCCGCCTCGATATTGGCCGACGATATCGCGAAGCGGATCACGCTCGGCTGAACTTCATTCTCTAATTAATTTAGACACGACTTGTCTCATTCAGGGTGTCGTGTTCCTAATTCCACGCAAATATTCGCGTGCTTATGCTTCTCAAGGATATCTTCTTATCTTCTTCAACCCACTTCGTCTTACACCTTTCTCTCCCTAACCACTCCACATCTCGGTCTGTTATTCCATATCATTTCTACGTACAGAAAATTGCAGTATGATACGGTGAAATGAGCCAGCATAACGGTAGAATGGTAAAATAGCGAAGTAATGAAACAGCAGTGAGGCAGCAAAATGGCAACAGTACAATAAAATTATAAAAAAAATTATCGATACGATACTTTCCAACAACTTCAAACATCTACCAGAATTCACAAGTTCAACAAATAAAGTCCCACACAACTCCGTAAAATGCACCATCGCCATATAAGAATAATAGTGAAGTAATGAAACAGCAGAACAGTAAGGCAGCAAAATGGCAACAGTACAACAAAATTATAAAAAAATGAAAAACCATCGACACTTTCCAACGACTCCAAACGTCTACCAGATCCCACAAATTCAACGAATAAACTCCCACACAACTCCGTAAAATGCACCATCGCCATACAAGAATAATAGTGAAGTAATGAAACAGCAGAACAGTGAGGCAGCAAAAAGGCAACAGTACAATAAAATTATAAAAAAATTAAAAACCATCGACACTTTCCAACAACTTCAAACATCTACCAGATCCCACAAGTTCAACAAATAAAGTCCCACACAACTCCAAATAAACTGCACCATCGCCATATAAGAACGTTCAAGATCCATAGATAGATTCACGGAAAGAGGAATGTTTAAGGACACGGTCGAATAGTGGACTGGTTGTTCCCACTTGACCGTGAGACTCCGCTTAGGCAAAGTGATGAAAGTTAAGTGGCGCAGACTAAGGTCGTTACCACTCTCGTTACCGTACGCATCGTTCTCAGCGGTCAGTAGACGATGACCAGTCGCTGGCGTCGCGTCGCATCGTTCCACGTTCGAACACCTGACAACCAAACATGAGGACGATGCTTTTGGGATCTTGGTTCTTGCTGGCGCTGATAATACAGACGCAGGCTCTGAACCCGGATTTTGGGCCATGGGTACGGCCCACTCATGGGGAGCCTTGGCCTTATCCTGAACATAGACGGGTCAACAAGGCGTACTACCTGCTGCGTGCTTCGACTTTTCAATTTAACGTGAGTGATTCATGAGTACCTGAGTAATTCAAGTATTTGGGTGATTGGAGATTCAAGTGTTCATGGGGGTTCGAGGTCTTTGGGAACCAGGGAACCCTGTTTTGTAGAATTGATTTGGATTTCTTGTGGGTTTAAGGATAAGTAGAGAGAAGGTACAGTTTCGAAGATTTGCCAATCTCCCAATATCTTCATTCTCTAAATATCGGAATTACCTAGCTCTCTCCTTCCCAGTTCCCCACTTCCCTCCTTCCCCAATTTCCCAAATTTCCAATCTCCTCAACTCCCAACTCTCTAATTCAAAGTCTGGCGAGAACCCCAAAACTTATCTCTGTAGACAAAGATTGAAAAAGTTGTGTCAATTTTATGTACATAATTTATAGAAGAAGAGACAATTTCTTCGCTTCAATGTTTAGTTTTCAATAACCTCTGCATAATTTTGAACTTCATCTTCAGCTGCCAGCAAAAATTGAATACTTAACTTTTCACTTCAAACAAGGTATTTTCGGTTCTTACTTGTGTATACTTAACAGGAATATTTATCGCTTATAATGTTTCCTTTCTTGACCAATGATACCGTGCATTTAAACTGGTAATTAGATTGTATGGTTTCCGTTTTCACGTGAAGGTTAGCACGCGAGAAACCATTGAAAACATCAACGAATGACCGATTGATCGTTAAATAAATTGGCACGATACGTTTGTCAGTATTAATTACTTTATCTTGTTTGAACTTCCTATACGGTTTTATCTGGCTCATATTTGCTATAGTAATTACAGTTAATGGCCATCGTTATCTGTACGTCATTTTCGATGACGCTTTATTTACGAGCAAGAACAAACGTAAAATCTGGGATTCCTGTGTCACGATGATCTCAACCTCTGCTCGATTGTTCATCGTTTTGATTAGCTCCATTTTGAAATGAACTTAAATCTTTCCACGCAATTATAGCTAAATATATATTACAACTGGGAGTTGTATAAATGCAATGTGACAAGGAAAAAATTACAACTGAAACGTTATAATGTAACAAGTTGCATCGTCGCGTTGTATATAATTTTGCAGGTAGTTGGTGAAACATGCGATATAGTGACCGATGCAGTAGAAAGGTATCAAGCAATCATCCTGAAGGAAGCAAAGATAGCGAAGATCCATTCGCAAGGAAATGGAAAATCGTCATCGGGAAACGATACCTCCAAAGGTACTCTAACTGCTCTGAACATCCATTTAGGGGAGCCATGCGAGAAAGATGGCAACCACTGGCCTCACTTGCAGATGAGTGAATCGTGTAAGTAATATTCATTCCCAAAAAACTACTTTCCGTGAAACAGTCATGAAGATCAATATTATAGTCATTCATACTTCAAGGCCAATATTTTTTATTACACCGATGCTTAATCGCTTTAATTGTGAACAGTTGTCATTTACATTAAAGACGTTTGACATTGGTCGAATGACATCATAATCCTAATGCACTGTTGGAAGTATGAAAAATGCGGTGGCAGAAAGTAGCACAAAACACGCGAAGAGTAAAGATAGATTTGAGTCAGGCGATTGAACAAAGCCAGATTTTCCTTCATTTCTTATCGCGTTTAACTTCGAGGTCAATCCGAGCGATTACCAAGAGAAATAAGCTCCAGAAATTATTCGTACGTACATTCAGACGTGATACGGAATTCTTTTCCTCTTGTTCGCGAAACTGATATTTGGATAGGGGTCTACAGGTGTCACTACACGTCCGGGGGTCACGCATCCTCACGGATCTAGCATAGATGTTCTAGATTAAATTGTAGGCTGACTCTAACTAGAAGTAACTGAACATTTCCAGATGTTCTTAGCATAAACGAGATGTCTACCGCTGCGAAACTCGTGGCTGACTCTGTGTGGGGAATTCTTAGGGGTCTCGAGACCTTCTCTCAGCTGATATCGCCAGCTGGAGATGGTTCTAACGTGAGTATACTATACTCTTGACATTAGACTCTTTAAGACTACGTCAATTATTCTCGTCATCTGCTAGAGATAATTCTATACATCTATGTCAACTTATTATTCAATAGCAATTTCATCTTAATATTAAGTTTTGTTAAAATTCACTTAAAATGTAATTCATGCTAAAATTAAAAAACTAACTCACCATTGATGTCTGCTTCTCCTGAGGATGTATTTGTTGCGATGTATTTCGTAGCTGAAGATAAAATGTCAGACGATCCACGATAGTCCAAAACTGCGCCACCGTGGTCTCCTGCTAGACACGTCCCGCCATTACCTGCCCATCTCCGACATATTGCTGACTCTGGACGCGATGTCCTATAACAAATTGAACGTCCTCCACTGGCATATCGTGGACGACAACAGTTTCCCGTACCAGAGCTCGAAATATCCCAACTTATCCGCCAAAGGAGCGTACCATCCTTCGATGGTCTACACGTTGAACGATATCCAGAAGATCGTAGACTACGCTAGGCTAAGGGGTATTCGAGTCATGCCGGAATTCGATACCCCTGGACATACCAGGTCATGGGGTTTGGCTTATCCTGAGCTATTGACCACTTGCTACGGTAAATCTCACTCCCAATTTTCAGAAAAAAAATCTATGAAGCTTAATTTCTTTTGAAATACGTTGTTAGAATATTGATAACCTTTTCACCATATTAAAAGATTTTTTATCACATCCATTTCGACCCAAATGAAGCTAAAATGTACCATAAAAATTTGACCAGATCTCAAAATTATTACAAAGACCATAAAAGTCTGAGAACTGAATCTTGATACAAAGAAAGATTTATGTACCCTTGTACATCAGATGCAGAAGGAAAGACGACCGGCAAACTGGGACCAATGAATCCGATAAATCCAAACGTGTACGAGTTCTTACGTCACCTGTTCGCGGAGATCGTGCAGGTATTTCCGGATCAATACGTTCATCTAGGAGGCGACGAGGTGCCGTTCAGTTGCTGGATGAGCAATCCAGAGATCAACGATTACATGAAACATCGAAACATGTCGAAAAACTACGCGCTCCTCGAGGGAGAGTACATAGCGAAGCTCCTTCAGATCACCGATTCGTTGGAAGCGAACACCATAGTATGGCAAGAGGTGAGTCTCCGTCCAATAAATCGCTGTAAATGACCGAGCAATAAAACGAGGGATTCGAGGAACGCTATCGCGACACCGAACGTAAAGTTGCAAATGAGGCGATCCTGAAAAATGCGTATCCGTGTCTGTCTCGAGAAAACTCGTTTCGGGCTGATTGCATTCGCCATTAATTCTAGGGCCTTGGGAGGCTGAATATTTTAGTGCCGGTTCGTTAGATATTTTGTTGGACGTTTGGAATGTCTGATGATTTGAGGATTTAGAAATGAGGAAATAAATTTGGGACTTTGAGCTTGTGAGTTTGATTACGGTGTGCTACAGGTGTTCGACAATGGAGTAAAAATGCCGAACAACACAGTGGTGCACGTGTGGACCGGTAACTGGGCGAAGGAGCTGGAAGGTGCAACGAAGGCAGGACACTCGGTGTTGCTCTCAGCCTGCTGGTACCTGGACCACGTTGCTGGAGGAGGAGACTGGAAGAAGTTTTACAGATGTGATCCCATGGCATTCGCTGGTGCTTCGAATGCAACTCATTTGATGCTCGGTGGAGAGGCCTGCATGTGGGGAGAATATGTTGACAAGTAAGCGAAAAAATTTACTTCAAATAGCCTTCTGAACTTTGACCTGTACTTGAATTAAGATTGCAAATTAAACTCTGAACACCTATCAGAAAATCTACCTATGAGACCTGTAAGAAAATCTGTCTATAAAACCTTCTCATAAAATCTCTTTGTCCTATTAGAGAACCCTAATAATATTTGCATAAGACGATAAGAAAATTAAGAGGCTTAAGAGTAATATAATCGAATTTCTTGGTTTATTATGGTTGCTGTCATTTTCAGGAACAATGTACACTCGAGGATATGGCCGCGAGCTAGTGCAGCAGCTGAACGTCTCTGGAGCACCGTAAAATCAGACGAGAACATAGCTGCACAAAGGCTCGAGGAACATTCGTGTCGCATGAACAGACGCGGAATTCCGTCACAACCACCAAACGGACCTGGTTTCTGCCTCACGTAGTGCCGCTTCAAACATTTTCCATTTATACAACGCGACACTCTCGGGTGCGACGACAGAATCATTGTATCAGGGAATTTAATAAATTTTTATCACCCTCGATGTGTCTTTTTATTCATCCTTGAACGCTGAGTCGAATGTGATATTCAAATCAAATATAAAAATATAAAAATTCAACAATTTTTTCAACAACAATATTAAATCTTGAAATGAAATATTAAAATATGTACAATACTTACAAATCTTGAAGGCCTACGAAATATATTAATGGTCATAATTAATTAATATTCTATCCTCTAATTTAATTACGTTCTAATTTAACTTGTAATCGAATTGTCCGCGGAAAAACAAATCGATTGCTGTAAACAGGAAAGAATCGCGTCGTTTAGGCAACGAACGAAACAACCAACGAATCCATCACGACGGTTCATTTCTCGTTCGTTCATCGCCAAAATTTCAAGTGACCCTGAATGATCCTGAAGCACACCGACACCGTTGTCTCTGGTTGGATCGAGGCTCATCCATCATCGGGGGATCAATGACAGTGATTGAAATCTCCCGAAAATGTCTGCATAATACCTCTCGCCTACCATTATCCAGCTAACTCAACGATGCTCAAGTAAATCCATTATAAAATTATTTATATTGTTAAATAAAAATCACCGATCTTCCGAATAAAAATGCTACTAATTAATTCAAGTATCAGATAAAACTGTTATCAGCGCGCTTCATGATCAGATTAAATTGTTTTTGAATACAATTATCGGTATCGGTAAAATAAAAGTAATCTGTACGTACCAGCATCAAAATAAAATTGTTATGATACTCGTATCAGTTTGTTATCGGGTACTTCATTAGCGAAACAAACTAAATTATCTAAATACCAAAGTAAAATCTTATTATCAACTTCAAAACAAAATTATCATAAAACCTGATAAATAAAAATTCGCACGAATTTAATTACGCGGATGATAATTAACGATTGATATTAAAATTCTTGACGAAACGAACGTTCTTTAATTAAGTTTAAATTAGAGCAGAAGATCCGATCTTAAAGTATCTCCGAAAGAAGCTTGTAATAAATGAGCTGCCCATCAGTTCCCTTCGTGGTCGACATATTGACAGCTTTAATTTCAACTTTCTCGACAATTTGTTCTTGATAAACGAGAAGCATGATCGAATTTGTGCGAAAATCGATCCAGCTAGTTTACAAATTTTTATAAAAATTGAAATGATTGAATTTGTTTGTTGAACAGAGGGTGCAACGGAAGTATCTCTGATTGCTCGTCTTGTTGTGCATCGTCATGCTGTTCGTCGTGTTCACCTACTATCATATGCAGACCATCATGCCCTCCTCGATGTCCTCCGAAACCAACTAGAACAACGGTGAGGTCCTTCGAAAAGTATTAATATACCTGTCCTATAGTAATTCACTCTACAATGAAAGAGTAGAATAATCAAGAAAAATATATGCAATAATGTAACCAAATATTTATCCATCCAAACAACCTGAAATAAAAAGCAATCCTTCGAAAAGTATTAATATACATGTCCTATAGTAATTCACTTTACAATGAAAGAGTAGAATAATCAAGAAAAATATATGCAATAATGTAACCAAATATTTATCCATCCAAACATATATTGAAATAAAAAGCAATTGAAACGTGGAAATAAAACACGTAAACTCATAAGAACAGAGCAAATCTATAAAGCATCCCAAGAGGCTGTTATCACAGTTAACTCGATAACTCCGCTCGAAATTAGGTTTACCTACGGCCGTGTCCACCCTGTCCACCCTGTTGCCCGCTTCCTTGCCCGCCAAAGATGATAGTCGCGTGTACGCCACCCCCGCCACCCTGTCCACCACCGCCGCCAGTCATTACCTACGTTTGCACCAAGAAACTGGTACCCTGTATGCCTTGTCCGCCACCCACGCCACCACCTTGCTCGCCGTGTCGACCAGTTTGCAGTTAGTTACACCATAATTAACTGAATTCCCCATCAATCTTATAGTACTATATCGTTGTCTTTTGAACAGTGCCTTATTGCTCGCCTTGCTAGTGACGGATCATTCTTCAGGGAACGTGTTTATTCAAAGGATTTTAGAACTATTTGGTGAGAATTTTATCATCTTATTTTTCATTATATCTGATGCGATGATCTGGACACTTAGATGTCTACATGTTTGATTTTTAGCAATATATCATTTTTCCTATCAGCAATTTGGAACAAATATTCGAATAAAAAAATGTATAATAATATTTTTCAGGAACAAATTGAAGAACCGAACGTGGAAATTCACCAACGAAGAAATCTGCAGATTGCTTAGAAGAAGAACCAATTAGCGTCAACGAAATCCTGATTGAGGACTGCAACGATTCGAATCAAATTGCCAATTATCGATAATTTAATGAATCAGTGACATAATCTTTATTAGACGATCCCAGATTTGATTTAACACGAACGCGTCTTAGCACAAATTTCGACATATTCTAATTCGAGTACTCTATTTGCGACGGAACTGAACTGTGATTATTTCGAGAATGACTTTGATTAGACTCTCCTAAAACGACGAATTACCGGAACGACAAATTTATTTCTGAATTTTGAAAGACCATCGATTTCGATGGAGCACGATTGCGACAATCGGCGATGCGTTGCCAAAATTTAATCGACAGTGTTTATTTGCCACTGCCAAATCTTCTTTTCGTTTCAAATTTTAATTTGGAAGATTTTTCGCGGCTTTGTGTTGCGCTGGTACATATTTTTTCCCCCTGAAAATATGTACGACTGCAAAGTAAAGTGCGAAAGATAAATTTTTGTTGAAATTAAAAATATAGATTGTATACGAACAAATTGAATATTGATCAGTTCGATCGAACGTGATTACGATGGATTTCAATATTTCAATATGTTGTTCGCAATAGAAAGCATGTACCATTCAATTTTTTTTAGTGATTTTTTTTATGAATCAAGTCACGTTTTCAAGATTTTGGTACGATTGCGACAATGAAATGATTGATTTCGTCGTACCACGTTCCGGATGAGTTTCACTCGACGCATATAATTCTGTTGGCAGTGACAAACTGACATTGCGAAAATTTAGGATCATCGGAACACACTTATTGGTGTTTTTATGTAAACGAACGAAAATAAAAATAGTATAACAAACTCCAGTTACCTGCTTCTTTATTCAAACGTTAATTTCTTATAAGATCCATAAAAAATTTTATTTTAGAAAACACTAAAATTTTGATTATTACAAAATTTAATTTAACTGCAAAATTAAATGAATAAACATAGTAAATTCTGTCTGTATATTATGCTATCATTTTTTACTTAATCTACAATTTATTAATTTGCAACGATAGTGTTTCGATCTACGAATCAAAATGGAGCGTCCATTAATTGAGAACACAACCTGAAATTGTAAACCAGCCAGAAGTGTCTACAAGTGTCCATGGCAACTCGGTCCTGCCTGTCTAATTTTTCGTCTCGGTTTTAAAAACTTTCGTGCAAAATATCTTAGTCCTTCGGAATCTTTCTTCTCCGATAGTGATGCAGAATTTGAGCTAGAAAATTACCTGGATCCTTATGACCCAATAATTATCGTCAGGACTCTGGACAAAATTCTGAACGATGATGAACAAAAAGTAACAAATCCACATTTCTGCCACTAGGCACAAAACTCATTAAAGAACTTCTACAGGAAAACTTCAGGCGACCGGAACGCAAAACAGAGGGCTTCTTCTCGACATCCAAGCGTGTCTAGTTTGTACACGAGGTCCAACGCGAATCATCGAAAGCTGAAGCCCGAAAAATCCCCGTCCACGCAGATTCTCCAAAGCGGGGAACCACAAAATTTGCAGCAGTCCGTGCAAGATACCAAAGCGGTCGAGGCGTGTCTACCGAAGACGAGATTCAACTCTCAGGATAGATGCAGAGAGTTGAGGTCGTATTCCTCGCCTAGGCTGAAGTATTTCCCGGCAGAGAAAATCAAGAAGTTCGAGAGTCCTCCGGTTACTCCCATCGGTGCACTGATCGCGCAACAAAATCCCCATGAAACTGGTGTTTATTACGTCGCTGGCAATCCTGAAGTGAACAATGGACAAGGGGATGCTGCGGCAGCCTCTCAATCTTTGCATCAACATCGTCCACCTCAAGTAATTATCTTTCGTTTCTGATCGAACTTGAACATCTCAATTGAGAATGAAATATTAGCTTCGATCAGTAGTTGGATATCTGGCACAAGGTCAGCTGCAACTCTGACAAGTTTCGCGCACGAACCTCTTTAAACATTCTCTAGTTAATCCGTTAGACATAAGTTCGATCATCCTCGGGGTCAATTTAATGGCCTAAGCGATTCTACTTCGACGACACGTTAAAGTATAAATTAATCGTCCGCAGCACGTGCACAGCGTGGGCCAGCAACAGGTAGCTCCTCATCAGCCAATTCATCAGACGAATCCTCAGTCAGAGTCCATATTACCGCAACAGATCCTTGCTGGACAGGCTCATCGTCCTTTTGTTCCACGCGACCACTCGCCCCAGAAAGTTCAAAATCAGGGTTACCACGATGCAGCCTGCGCGATGAAAGTTCAACCTGTCCATCAGGCTTCAAATCCCACGATGGACCAAGCTAGAAAACCTGAGGAGCCCACCATTGCAGCGCCACAGACTGACTACGAGAAGCAGCCGATAGGAGGTCGAAACGCAGCTAATTACAGGCAAATGATGGCTGGACAGCAACTACAACCGCAATCACAGGCATCGATGGACCCTAACATGTCTAATGTGACGCCCAGCAATCACGAGCAGCATTACTCGAAACATGTAGCTCAGAGTCCCCAGAATGTCTATCAGCAAATGCAGCAGAACATGCAGCAGATGCAGATGCAGCAGCGGGCTGCGAACTACCAGATGCAGATGACGGGTAACCAGGCGCAGGTCCAAGGACAGGGAGCTTACGGTGCTCAGCAGTATGGAAAATATGTCCCGCAGGGTATGACATCTCCTCAGGATCAGATGAAGAACATGCAGCGTGCAGTTGGACCGGGTAATCAGATGCACCAACGGGACCTGGAGTACTCGATGAACCAACAGAACGGGTGGCCTAGGAACAACCAGGTGGCGGAGTACTCGAGCGTCAAGGCTCAGCTGAAGCCTTATAACGTGGAAGTAATGAACAATCAAGCACGCCATGGTGTGCACCCCTACCATCATCCCATGCTGCAGCATCGAGCAGTGCCCAAAAACACTGCGCAGGGTGCCCCTGTGGCGTACCACCAGCCAGCCGATCAGCAAATGGCTGTTAGTCAACCACCCAACCCGCAACCACCCGAAAACAAAAACCCTCAGAGTAACAGGAAGCCCCTGCAGTTCACTGCTGGTATGCTACGGGACCAGGAGAAGTTGCTGAACACCATGAAGCAGCAAAGGGTACCCGTGGACGTCATGAGGAGACAGTTTGACATGTTGCTGAACGAACAGAAGAAGCACCTGCAATACCTGGAGCACCTTCAACGGCAGGACGAGAACGAAGAAGTGAAAAGCGTGCAGGTTAATCCTCGAAGAAAGAGAAACATCGACGAGAAACCTGAGTGGATGGCACATTTGACTCCGTCGAGGATGTCGTACCTGGAGATGGAGAAACTGCGAGATCAACAGAGGAAGGAAGAGGAAGCTCAACGATTGCAGCAACAGAATGTGAACGAAATGGCTAGTCAACCGAATCCGCTTCAGATGCAGAATCCTCTTCAAATGCAGAATCAACAGGCTTATCAATCATGGCAGGCTAACTGGCAGCAGACAGGGGCTCAAGCTCAGAACAATGTGTATCAGCATCCGTATGTAACTCCAATGCCCATAAATACAGGTCAAAATCCGTCTGCCATCCAGCATCAACAGCAACAAGGTGTTCCACAGTACCATGTTCATCAGCAACAGCAACAACAGTACCAGTACGTTCCTCAGCAGGAGCAAACTCAATCGATTGAGTCCTCCAGGTACCAACAGAATAGACAACCAGCAGAACCATCCAGTTTGCTCAAGATACGTCAGTACCTGAACGAAATACGGCCTCAAAAACGCAACAATGGACTGCAGGACCCTGACGTGGCTCGCAAACAACTGGAAGAGCTCAGAATCAGCGCTGAGATGAAGAAGGGACTGGAATACCTGGCCAGCTTCGCCTCTAAGAAGCCTCAGCTGAAACTGAACGGCATCCAGGATCGCAGCGAGACGGAAACCGAGATCCGGAAGCGTCTCCTGGTTCTCAACTCGGAGCCAACCGCTAAAACCATATCGGCAAATGGTCTGGAGAACACTAGAAACCCTGACAACCCTCCTCTTCAGCGCATAGCGACCGTGAAGAAGCTGGAGCAGGAGTTCGTGAAGGAATATCCGAGACAGAGAACCGCGACTCCGCAGAACTACTACAGCGTCCCAGCCGAGAGAGAAAATGGCACCATGGCTAACGAATCTGCGTATCCTCAACCTCCAGCCCAAAATTTGGCTAATATGACCCCCGTGATGCCTCGAGGAAACGTTATGCCGTTCAAATTTGACGCGAACTATCCGCAACACTATCAGCAGATGCAACAGTACTACCAGAACACCAGGAACCTGTCCAAAAACAACGGGGAAGGCGACGTGGGGACGCTCCAGAGGATCGAAGCCAGCAAAGTCAACTTCGAACGAGCCGGTGGCGACGCTTACGAAAGCATGAACGGACAAATGGGGGAGAGCAAAGTTCATTTCCAAGGGACACAGTATGGACAACCTCAGATTCACGAGGCCAAGACTATCGGAGGGATTAGGTACCTCGCCAGGAAACAGGACTACTTGCCCAATCAACAGATGGTGTCACCCGAAACTCTGATTGCCAGCAGACATTTACAACCCCCTGTTCTTTATTGATTTTATCTCCCAGACTTTTTGTACTTCAGATTTTACGTTTTGATATTTTGGTATAATTGTGAAGGTTTGATAAAATGTAATTTGTAGCCGGCCGGGTTCTTTGAAGCGAGAGAATCGTGGATCTTGAGGATTCAAAGAATGTGGCTGGAGTTTTTGTGTTTTTAATAAAGTATATTTGGATTTTTATGAAAGACTGATTCGATGTTCTGTGTTGATTTCACAAATGGTGATATGTTGTCCTTATATATGTGATATCTGTAGCTATAGAATCTATGGTGATCAACGGGAAAATCCTAGCTACGCCAATGGTTGTTCCCTGTCAACGTCAAGCACATCCTCATTGCTAGAATTGCTGCTTTTCTTCCTTCTCCTCTATTGTCCACGTTATTTCAACGGCGTTTCGTCCTCATCAGCAAATTGCTGTCTACCGATAGAATACCATTCGCCGACGAAATGACTCGTTCTTAAGCGACGTTATTTTTTTTATGAATTGTCCATATCTATATATATCAATGACGGTGATTGTATTTTATTTTTTATTTGAAAGGTAGCACAAAATTTTTGTCTTGAAAATTACAAAATTCTCCGTGAAATTATAAAGAATTTAAAACTTAACGATGGGTTCCTGTACAAACGACCGTAATTACATGAATGAACTAGTCGACATTATTAACGAAATTGTTTGTCGGTAAGTTTTCAATACACATTTTAATCAAATTAAAATAACCTAACTGTAGCCATAAAAACTAAGATTTAAACAAATTCTTTGTAAACTCTATATACTTTAATTTAATTAAACGAAGATTATTGACCTTAACATTGAATTGAATTACCCTTCTCTCAAGTTTAAGAAAGGTTTCAAATAAAAAGATAAGATGATGATAGAACAATGTTAATCGCAGACAACCAGAACCAGAAATATGCAACATAAGATGTCCACCCTTAGGATGTCCCCGAGGTCCCTGTCCAGGAGCATGTTCCTATGAAGGAATACCTGATGCTTGCTGCACATCAAAAATGCCCTGTTGTGCACCCCCTCCACCCCTTCCCTGCCGAGTACCGCCATTATGCTTCTTGCAATCGTTCGCCAAAGAAGTTGGCTACCCTCCCGATTCCTGTTTTTCACCACCGAATGCACGACTTCGTTTATTACTCAGTGTTCCTGCGCGAAGGAACGTGCAAGTATCAACTTGCCCCCCTCCACCGTGTAGTCCCTACCCTCCAAGTTGTATGCCCTGTTGCCCTTATTGAAAAATCGAGGATTGTTCACAAACGTCTCTTCTCAATATTTTATTCCAGCGTTGTAAAATTACAAAATTACTCGAATTCGTGTTAATAGAAAATAAATTGTATGAGTGGTTCAATAAAAGAATCTAAGATCAGTATTCTGAGTCACTTTATTTCTACGAAAGTCTACATGTCTTGACTTCGATATGTGTTATCGAAGTATCGAAGCTATTCACTTGTAATACTTCCTGTCAATGCCCGAAAAAAATATTGCTATAAAATATAATTTAAGAGCGAGTCTAATTTGATCAAAATGAACGAAGAGGAAAAGAAGCTGCGTAAAACACCAGAAAGGTTTAACGTAACAGAAATTATACAGCATCTGCTACAAAAATCGGATTACAAAACCGAGGACGAAGCAGAGGTTAATATTGCATTTTTTCCGTATGAAGAAATTCAAAGCGTAGAACGGCAATTTTGATAGTTAGAAGTTCGAACAAAAATGAAGGGATGAAAATTTTTTAATTATTCAGCAGGGTGCATCTCCGTCAGAATATATGAGGCAAATGTCGATGACAACAGAGGAGAGAACCAGGCATCTCTTCAAGTTGAAGCACAAGTTAAATTGCTTTTTTTCGGGTCTAGAGGATTGCAACTTCGAGATCACTCCTAGTGTCGTTATTTTTCAACAATTCACTGCCGGAAATGCTTGCAGCGTGACGGTGACTGTTCGAAACAAGACCGGGGTGAACAGCCAACTAATTAAAACCTTATTGAATATCGACAAACTAGAGTTACATTATTCTCGGGAATTCATTTCGTGTTACAATTCTTTAGAGTTGTATTTCATTTTTATCTTCTCTCATCTCAATATATCAACGTATTTTATTAAAAAATTAAAGCGTACACAATAACACCTACATAACACTTGAAACATTCTACATAGATATCTTTTCAATATAAAATAAAAATGAATAAGAATCAAAAAGGAAGATAAAGGGTAATTTGTTTTGGGAACAAAGATACCGAGATACGTAAGAACGTCGTGTGAATTGCATCCCTTCTTCACCGTCGAGCACCGCGGAAGTTATTACTCGATGATGTTGGCACCAGGACTCGTGAATTCTTACACCGTGACATTTATGCCCGAGAGGAAACAAAACTACCAATATCAGTTAAAATTTGCTACCGACACCGGAGAATTAATCGTACCTGTTATAGGTAAAATTTTAGTGAACGATTCTAATGGAATTTTCATAATACGAAATAATTGATTTAGCAATTGGATCGAGAGGGATTTTAGACTTCCCTGATAGAATCGAGATACCGGCGACTGCAGTGAAGATTGTTTCTACGAAGACCATTTTTGTGAGAAATATTGGGGATGCTGAGGCGGTTTTCACTATTTGTTCTGACGAGTAAACGACTTAAATTATTTTACAGCAGTAATCATAAAAAAATAGCTAATTTGAAAGACAAGTTATGATATTTGTGGAAAATTTCAGTCCACATTTCTGGATCGAGCCTTCGAAGGGTAGAATAGAGGAAGAAGAATCTGTGCAATTTAATGTGCATTTTATGTCTAAGAAAGCTGGGGACTTTGAAGGGAAATTGTTCCTGGAATACGACGCAGGTGACTGAGGAATCAACTAAATAATTATTAGAACCGATTGATGAGTGACTTGTTTGCAGGAGTAAAACTGGAGATACATGTACAGTGTTCTGCAGAAAATTGTCCCATTCGAATTGACAGGGGTAGCGTCAGAATGGAGGACACTGATTTAGGGTTGTCCAGAAGCAAGATTATCACTATTCATAACAGGAGTAATTATATAGTTAAATATCAGTGGATGATGCTTAAGAGCGAGGAAGAGGATAATCAACAGAAAGAGGAGTAAGCAGAATCTTTATAAATAATAAAACTTTCTTAAACTTTAACTATCATTATAGTCATAAAATTAAATTTTAAATCTTGTATTAAAATTTGTCGACATCGCAGGATATTAAAAGAAAGTTTTTACTATAGATATAAAAAGTTATGTCACTTAGTCTACGAATGGGACCTGGATCGTTATGCGGACCTCGAATATTATCACGTGTGCACCCCCGATATTCACAAACTGATTTACCAGCGAATTTACGCGGACGAATTGGAATCGTTGACCAAAGAAACTTTTCCCTACAAACACCTATTCTTTACGATCGTCCCACAGGTAAATTTAAATTAAAAAATAATAAGAAGCAGAGTACGTAAATTGTTTGTAAATTTAGGAGGGTGAAATTTGGCCACAATCGTCCATCAATGTCACAGTCTTTTATTACGCCATGGAAATAGGGGAAGTAACAAGCACAGCTTATTTAGAAATAACAGGCTTAGAGAATAGAGTACCATTGAGGTAAAAAATAAATTCTAACGTGTTAAATAATTTAGTGAAAATTATATAGCTTGATTTCACAGCCTTCATGGAACTGGAAAGGGACCTGTTCTTCGTCTGAACGTACTCACGATCAATGTAGAAAATATTTATTTGTGCTCCGTGCATAATTATGAGGTGAATTTGTATTATTTTGTGTACTTGTAGATTGCCATCATTTTAATTGACAATTAACCTGATAACATTAAAGTATTTGAAACTGCAATTTACCTCCAGCCATCGAAATATATCGTGAAAGATTAAAATACGAATGAGATTGTTTCAGATAGTAGCCGTGAACAAAGGCCACATTCCTGGAACGTTGGTTCACAGACCGAAACAGAGCGATTTTGGCGGTACAATTGAAATAACACCCGTTTGTCTCAAGTTGCAACCCAGCGAGCACAAATCTTTCAATTTGTCATTTTCCTCGAATCGCAAGGGAGATTTCGTGGAAAGGGTCGATTTCGTCGTGAAAGAGAGCCTTGAAGTGCTCAGCTTGCACATCAAGTACGTCGTCTGATCCATCTTACGAACCGCTTCTTCTTTGATGTCAACTTATGCTTCTTGCAGAGGATGTATCGTGTGCCCGACTTTGCACTTTGATAAGGAGAGCCTCGATTTTGGTACTACTGCCCTAGGTAAATTGCAATTTTTTAAATATTCGGTACTTCTCTCGAAACGGGGTTTACCTTGTAATGATCGCTTGATAGTTTCCTGCTTTTAGGGCTCTAAGAGACGCTTAGATCCCGATATTCCTAAATACCAAATTTCTAAAATTCTGAAGTCTCAAAGTACCGAATTTCTCTAAGTCCCTAGGATTTCTAAATCTAAGTCTTCCTAAGTCCCAAAATTCCAAACTTACAACCCTTCAGAATTCCAAACTTAGCTTTCAAAATTCCGAACCCAATTACCTCAAATAGTGGAATCGAATTTCAGGGTTCAGCGCCCGACAAGAAGTCTACTTGAATAATTTATCCCTAATGCCAGTGGCATTCACCATAACCGTGCTGAACGACGGTAACCAACCACCACTGACTCACGAAGAATTCATCAGGGCTCCCACAAAAAGCAGTTTCCCTTCGAATCCTCGAGAGTTTTACGTCGTACCCGAAGAGGGTGTCGTTGCAGCTCAAGACCTCCTCAGAATTAAAGTCAGCATCACGACTACCATTAACCACAGTTCAATTAGAAATAAATAATTTCCACAGGTTACCTACATCGCTAACCTTGCTCGTTCTGGTCAAACGACGATTCAAGTCATTATGAAGGACTCGGACCTAGATCCATTAACCCTACCCGTCAAGTTCTTTGGTCACGTGGCTACCTTATTGATAATTCCATCGGAAATAACTATTCGATTTTGCTTTATCAATTTTCCCTATTCGAGGTCTTTTACGGTGCAGAATACCTCCGATCTGGATGGGTACTTCTATATTATACCGCAACAAGTATGGTTCATGTTTAATTATTTAAACAATGCATTTTTTAATAATGTTCAGTGTTGTTTATCATACAGATGTTATCATGTCTTCATACAGATGTTATTCATCATGTCTACATAAAAATGTTATTCATAATTTCTTCGTACAGATGTTATTTTGAAATTTACATAGGTGACAGAAGACACACCTGTGATCTACTCTCTGTCGACGTACCAAGGCTACATCAAGGCGAATCAGTCAAGAACAATTAACGTGACAATTATCACGAAGGTGTTGGGAACACAGAAAGTCACCCTGAAGTAATACCACCAATAATACTCTGAAGTAATACCACTAATAAATGATATTAGCAATTAATGGAAAATTAATTGTGCAGTATGTTAACGATGGGCGAGAAATCATCGAGTACCGTCTGCGCCATCACCTGTACCGGACAAGGACCGGTGATCTCCGTGGAACCAATGTCTTTCGACTTCGGAGAAGTTCATGTTCTCGAGGAGAAAACGACAGAACTTGTGGCGATCAACGATTCACCGATACCTGCTCATTTCAACATAACTTTGGTATTCGATACAATTTTTATAATAATGAACCTACTACAAATTTGTAATGCTTAATGAACCTACTACAAATTTGAATTTTATATAATTTTTTATGTTGAAGGACCACGTGAACTCATCGTGGATCGTAGACCCAGAATCAGGAGACCTCGAGCCGGACAAGCGAATGACAATCAAAGTGAAATTATTCCTCCGCGACACGGGAAAAGTCAAGAACGCCGTTTTGTTGTCTGTTCTGAACAGTAGAACAATTCCAGTCGAAGTCACTGCGATTGGAGTCGGATGCAGCGTTGTCTTCGATCCAAATATATTTCCCGTCTACGACCTAGGCCTTCTCTTCAGGTTTTAAATGATCTTCCTATCGTTTCTGTCGCATACTGAGACATCATTCCTTTATAGCCACCATGTAATAAATCGATCGATAACTATGACAAATTACGCTACTCGCACTATTCAAATAGTGTGGACAACGGAGCCGGAGGTGCAGTTCTATCGTGGTAAAATGCTGCAGACGAATAGGTAAAATCTTTGCCAAGTTTAAATGAAAGAATGTTCACTCTTTTCTGAATTTAGCACCAAGTTTCAATTGGACCCTACCATCGTGGATATTCCTCCTGAGCAAACGAGGGTTGTGCAGTGTAAATTGTTCTGGAAAGTGTGAGTATTATTACAAAATGAAGTCCTTTTTAAACAATGAGAAGCTTAAGTCAATTCTCGTAACAGAAACGAGTGCCTGCTCGAAGACTGGTACATTTTTGGAATGGTACAAGGAATTGGAAAGCGTGAATTGATCGGAAAATCTACCTTCAAAGTGACTCTAACCGAACCGCAGATCTGGTTCAGTAAAAGAGGTCTAACGTTTCGAGTCGACATCTGTCCTGACGGTGATAAATTACAGCAGAGAGGTTCGATGAGTTTTCTTCCTCCAGTTTTTCCACGTTTCCTCCTTTCGTACTATTCGAAAACATCTGAACGTAATCTTGAAACTCTCAAACAGTAATTTTAATCATTCGATTCTACATTACTGAATTATGCTGAATGTCTCTTCTGTGCTTGCACAAAATTTGAATTCTCACAATAGAGTCGTTGAATAGTTTTGATGGTTTTATCGAAATAGATGAGTTATTGGTAACCAATCAATCAAGACTGGACCTGAACGTCCAGCTGTCGGTGAAAGGTCCGTTTTATTTGTTGACCGCCATGAAGGAACGCGTGCAAAGCATGGGAATCGTTTTAATCGATACAGCCACCACGGAGATCTGCGTATTTTTCGCAATGGATGATTCACCCAAAGATTTGTACTCGCGAACGTACACTGGGCAGCTTCTGCTGGAATACATGGAACATCCTAATCAAGTAAATTGAATCTCTCTGCTCGGGACTCGAAACCAAACTCTTTTTCTCGTTTTGCAGGATAAAATCTCGTGCACGGCTTACGTGAATTATCCGAATTTGATCGTCGAACCTAGGGACATTGTTATCGATTGCGAATTAGGGTGCAGCGCGGAGAAAGTGGTGACGTTGACCAATAACGGCCCGGTTAAGGTCGTGTACAAATTTTTATGGGTTATGGATTCTGTCGAGATCGATAAAGACACGGACAGTGATCAAGTAAATTGATTCAAAAATTTTTGCTTCTAAATTGTTTACAGAAAGATTGATTTTTTAGGAATGTTCAGGGTGCTCGCCGCAGCAGACAGAACAGAGTTTTCACACAGAAAATGAGAACTCGATTGAAACTACGAAACCTGAAATTTGTATAAGTGATAGACAAGACGGAAGCGGAGACGGGCCATTGAAGTCTATACAACCACCAGCTAATTGTACTTCTATATAATAATAATAATTTGAAAATTATTTAAAAGGTCAACTTGTTACAGCACCCATTTCAGAGGTACACAAATTGAAGCCAGAAGGTCCGGATACGAGTCTTTCTGAAATAAGTGATTGTATGGTGGATGTGGAGGAGATGAGAAAATTTTTGGTACCCATTGTTGGGAAATATTTCGAGGAGGATGAGGATCTCGTTGTTCTGAAGAATTTGAGTAGTAAGCCTCGGAAGTGCCATTATATCGACGAAGTTAGTAATTTTTAAATCTCCAAACTTTCAAGTTTCACTCATTCGCTCTAACTCTGAATCTAATTCTCAAATCTCCAAATTCAAAAATTTCCAAAATCTGCAATCTCTCGAATTCCCACATTCAAAAAAATTCCCACATCTTCACCCAATCAAAATACATCTCTCCTTTTTGCCTGAAATATTTCACACCGCTTTATACATATTACTCCGAAAGTTTCATCCCCGCCGGAAGAAACATCTGCAGGATTTCTCTTCAACATTCAGAATGAAGATTCGAAGCGGTTCGTTTTTTTATTCCTTTCTCTTCCGCGATATTGCATCTCGCTTTTTAGATATTACTTTGAAAGTTTTGCTCCAACGAGAGGATATTCTCGTTTATGTGTTGCTCACGTGCTACTCATAAAATGGCCGCTCTGTAGGTGGTGAAAATCGTACCTAGGGAGGGAGTCGTGCCTCCGTATTCCGTGCACCATCTTTACCTGGGATTTCACGGTTTCCAACGTCTTCGAGTACGCGCTAAAGCTGTTTTCGAAATTCTTCGAGGACCTACCGAGGAAATTCGCCTAACTGCTCGAGCGGACCTCACTCGATTCTCCATTGACGCTGACGTCATTGATTTTGGCCAACAAGTACCTTTTTTATTTATTCGTTCATTTATTTCTTGACGAATTTACAAATTTATTTACTTATAGATTAGGCATTGACTGATTGATTGATTGATTGATTGACTGATTGATTGACTGATTGATTGACTGATTGATTGACTGATTGATTGACTCATTGATTGACTGATTGTTTGACTGATTGATTGACTGATTGACTGATTGATTGACTGATTGATTGATTGACTGATTGATTGACTGATTCATTAGCTGATCGATTGACTCATTGATTGACTGATTGATTGACTGATTGATTGACAAATTGATTGACTGATTGACTGATTGATTGACTGATTGATTGACTGATTGATTGACTGATTGATTGACTGATTGATTGATTGACTGATTGATTGACTGATTGATTGACTGATTGATTGACTGATCGATTGACACATTCACATATGAAAAGACACTCACATAATAACTTCAACATACAAGAAACGTAAAGACATTAATCGATACATTTTAATGTGATCGAACGAAAGAAATTATTTTCGTTTGGAATCACTGATTCGTTTCCATTCGACAAGGCGATTGAGTGTCTGTAATGAGAGAAAAATGTTGAAGTATGATAGAATTGATCATGAAACATACTGCAGCTGTTCCTGGATAGCACTAGTAAGCGCTTCACCTTACGGAATCTCGGCACGACAGCGTTCCAGTACAAAATAAATAGCACGATACCGTGTTCCAACGAAGAAATCGATAGTCCCGATATAAATTCGCTAAAAGTCGAACCATACACGGGTAACGTGGATCCTGAATTATTCGTGGAACTTCGTGTGGAGCATCGCGCTAACATTCTTGGCCCGATTCATCATCGATTTCAATTGGAGGTACAAATCGATCGTTTATTTATTTTTACTCGGTGAAATACCATATATCAATTTAATAATCGGTGGTTTGACAAAGACTTGTTAGAAAGAATTAACATTTTAATTTATTGAATGGCAGAGAGGATAAAAATTTTATAAACGCAATATGATTTGAAAATTTTTGCAATTTCCAGATTAATCATTTGATGCCAATGACCATAAAAGTGATCGCCTGTGGGGGATTTCCCCAAGTTTATCCGTGTATACCACAAGGGAAATTACCCCACTATCATTCCATCGAATTGGAATATTCCGCCATTCAATCTCTACCCGATAAATTCTTTATTCGCGTAAGTAATCGAGTATTCAAACATTTGAACACCATTTTCATAAAGCTCCTATCGCAGAAGCTGAATTGCACAAGTTCGGAGAAGAAGGACGATTTAACCAAAGAGGATATCGACGCTCTGACCGGTGAGTTAAAACTGAACTACGAATTGAAATACCTCGAAGATTTTGAATATCGGAATTTCAAATATTTTATACCATGTTCAGCGTAGAATTATTAAAATTACGAAAGGAAGTAATAAATTCAATAAAGTAGTTTCGCTGAATGCATATATGATTTTGCATAAATATTAATAATAAGACATTGTATCTATTGGTTATTGTATTATGTCAGTGGAGGATTGGTGCATTATTTCTTACGAAGAAACGTTTCCTGGCGTTATGGATATCGATATGGCGGTGGAAAGACACTTGGCAAAAAAGTTCATCGATGCAAATTCATACATTTTAATGCAGCATAGCAACACTGGTAAACGCGAGCCAATACCTCAACTTTTCTCCTGCGAATATATTATTGGTGAGTCTTATCCTTCGTGTACACTGGGTGTTTCGATAAAATAACTTTTATGTCATTGTTTAATACCGAAAGAATATAAATTTACGAAGACACCCAGTATTTTTATTTAATGCTCATGTGTGTACATATGAAGCTTGAATTCGGTTGAAGATAGTTGTGGGTGTAATTTTTGAATGATTTCTGTCAGATATGGAGTACGTGATCGTCGACTGTGCCGCTCATTATTCCGCGAAGATAATTAATTACGGCCCGTGGGTCGTGGAGATGAGAATGAAGGAGACAAGAAGAAAGGAGGTGCTCGCGAAATCTGGCATTGTAGTGCAATTTAAGAACCACTCGAAATTAGTGGTAGACGATTGTGCTGTTCTCCATGTAACTTGGCATCCGACTCGAGAAAGATTCTCCGAAAAAAACACGCAAGTGCAACATACTATTTACATCGAGGTACTGTTACTGTGATTACCATTGTTGCTATGATAATTCATAACTACTCAAAAATTAATATCATATTCATAAGTCACATGTGTGATAATGTTACATGTGTTGCAAATTCATACATTTTAATGCAGCATAGCAACACTGGTAAACGCGAGCCAATACCTCAACTTTTCTCCTGCGAATATATTATTGGTGAGTCTTATCCTTCGTGTACACTGGGTGTTTCGATAAAATAACTTTTATGTCATTGTTTAATACCGAAAGAATATAAATTTACGAAGACACCCAGTATTTTTATTTAATGCTCATGTGTGTACATATGAAGCTTGAATTCGGTTGAAGATAGTTGTGGGTGTAATTTTTGAATGATTTCTGTCAGATATGGAGTACGTGATCGTCGACTGTGCCGCTCATTATTCCGCGAAGATAATTAATTACGGCCCGTGGGTCGTGGAGATGAGAATGAAGGAGACAAGAAGAAAGGAGGTGCTCGCGAAATCTGGCATTGTAGTGCAATTTAAGAACCACTCGAAATTAGTGGTAGACGATTGTGCTGTTCTCCATGTAACTTGGCATCCGACTCGAGAAAGATTCTCCGAAAAAAACACGCAAGTGCAACATACTATTTACATCGAGGTACTGTTACTGTGATTACCATTGTTGCTATGATAATTCATAACTACTCAAAAATTAATATCATATTCATAAGTCACATGTGTGATAATGTTACATGTGTAGACTACTGAGTATGTGATACACTACTCAAAAATTAATACGACATTAATATATCACATATGTGATAATGTTACATGTGCAGACTACTGAGTATGTGATACACTACTCAAAAATTAATACGACATTAATATATCACATATGTGATAATGTTACATGTGCAGACTACTGAGTATGTGATACACTACTCAAAAATTAATACGACATTAATATATCACATATGTGATAATGTTACATGTGCAGACTACTGAGTATGTGATACACTACTCAAAAATTAATACGACATTAATATATCACATATGTGATAATGTTACATGTGCAGACTACTGAGTATGTGATACACTACTCAAAAATTAATACGACATTAATATATCACATATGTGATAATGTTACATGTGCAGACTACTGAGTATGTGATACACTACTCAAAAATTAATACGACATTAATATATCACATATGTGATAATGTTACATGTGCAGACTACTGAGTATGTGATACACTGCTCAAAAATTAATATCACATTAATATATCACATATGTGATAATATTACATGTGCAGACTACTGAGTACGTGATACACTACTCCATATCACATATCACACTACTCAAAAATTAATATCACGATACATATTAAATCTCAAATATAACTTTGACAATGCGTTACATATTAAATAATATTGTATACAATTTATAACATTTTATGATACTTGAAGTCTCATTTGTAGGTGGTTCACGGATGCAAGATTCCCATACTGATACAAGGAATAGTAACCTACCCCTACCTCACGGTGAACACCAAACTTTTGGACTTCCAAGACGTCGTCGTCGGAGAATGTCTAGTGCTCTGCATCCTAGTTAAAAACGAGTAAAATTTGATACCATAAAAATACCAAGATTGATGAGAAGTCCTGTGTAAAATCGCGCGATTCAATTCGACGTTCAAAACCGATCTCCCTATTGAAAACTAGAGAAACTGAATGAAGATCGACCGAGTGACCTCTATAGATTCCTATAAATGCGTGTGTACTAGGCCGACAAAAAAATTCGCTGACTCGACGGGGTGTAGACGTGAGTAGTTTTTCTACTGGCAGCAAAAAAATGCTTACCCCGTCGTGAGAACCATTGGCGTATTCCCCTTTTATTCTAGATTTCTTACCCTCTGCCATAAGCGTACACACCCATTTTTTACTCTCACTGCATCTAAATTAAAATTGGTCGAATTGAATCGTCCTGAATTGAACTGTCCCCAAATATAATCGCCCCGAATTGAATCGTGTCAAACTGACCCATCCAAAACACCTTATATAAAATAAAGAATTCCTACAGTAACATTGTATCCCTAAAATAATTTCCCAGGGGATTAATCGACTGCGCTTGGGAGACGAGATTATCAGGATCTCGCAAGAAACAAGAAGTATGCCCGTTTTACGTGCAGAACGAACTTAACTATAGTCCACCCGGTCACGAACAAGTCATTCGTATCAGCTTTAAACCCGTGAAAACGGTAAGAATCTGCGACCATTACAAACATCGCTGAACCGATAAAAATTGTTCTAATGTCTACAGTTTTATGCGGTGGCTAAGTTGAAGATAATTGTCCAGTACAGTCTCGAAACTGAGATCATAACGTTGGTCGGTCGAGGAATTGAGAAATATTTGAATGTGATAGAACCCGATGTTCGGTTTCTACCGACTGTGCCTTTTACTGAAATTCAAGAAGCTATTTTCACGATTGAAAATCCTTGCGATTATCCGGTCGAAGTTTTCTGGCAACATTTAGACGAGTGAATGAAACTTTTATAAATTAACAGATTTATTAGATACAGGCGCAATCATTTATGCAACTAATTTAAAAGTTTCTACTAATTTAAAATAATTAATGTGTTACAGTTCGTTCGAGACAGAGAATCGAATCATAAAGGTATTGCTGTATTATTACCGAACGAAGGAAATATTTTTACCTCCAAGAAGACCCGGCGAATCGATATCGTCGACTTTTAGCAAATTCTACAACGAGCTGGTGAACGAAATGGCTCGTTCGATAATGGAGGAGGAATTTGAAGAAACCTTACAGGACGAAGAATACGATGTAAAAGAAAGTAAGCTCGCCTTGATAGAATCTAACTGTAAACGTGAATTGTTTAAACTATCGACAGGTGTAGGGAAGCAGGAGAATAGAGAAGAAAGGGTGAGGAAATTAAACATTTCGAAGAAGAGAAGAAAACGAAGCGGTGTATCTTCTCGACGATCTACGACGAGAAAATCGAGCATTCGCGGATCCAGTCGTCGTGGAAGGAAAACGGAAACCAGCGAGGCTTCCAGCATAGATTTCGACAGAAATGATTGTCCGACGTTTTCGGTTCTGGATGAAACTGTATTGGAATCTGTTACTTTGCCAACGAGCGATCCTGAAGAAATTCAACGATTACTTTTCTGTAATTTTCTAATTAAAAATAATTTTTTCTTTGCAATCATTTCTATCGACTCAAAGCTAAAATATTAAAGCATGAAGCTTTTTTTATTATCGAATAAAATGTTCATTTTAAGGCTACATAGACACTCTACGTGAAACTCCAGACATTTTCAGCAAGTTAAAAGATCCAGTGAAAGATCTATTCAAGGATGTGGAACAGAAATGTCCATCGGGCGATCTCGATCCTCTGGAACCGGTGAAAAAGGCTTGCATAATTTTTCACGGAGCTCCCTTCACTGGTATCTCTTTCTTTCTCGATAAATTTACACAACACTGAAGTTTATGCTTGATTCAGAGTACCAAGAAGCCGCTTGCAAGAGTGCGAGGGCGTTGCAAATACCTGTGCTTAATGTCGACAAAGCGATCGTAGAAGTTGTGGCACTTGGAAGGAGCTCATGTTCGATTCGACTGCGACAAATCATCGATGAGGCATATGAAAATTATTTGGAAGCTTTCGAAAAGCAACAGTACGCTTTACGATTAGTTACAAATTTCATTTGAGTAAAAATTAGAATGTGTATTCTTGGAAAAACATTTATCATTCCTTTCGAATTTTTGTATTTACACCTTCATATCACCAGAAATCCTGAAGAGAACAAAGATGATTTGGAAGGCACCGTCGAATCAAAATCACCGAAAGAAGGAACACCCCGGAAGAAATCACCGAGAAGTCCAGTGAGTGATTCCGCAAAAAGTGCGAAGAAAGCAAAATCGGGTAGATCCATCACAACCGAAGCTTCAAACGTGCAAGAAGTCTACCTGAAACTGCATCCAGAGCCTGATGCTTCGAAAGAATTCAATAAAATAGCTGGAATCGAGGGGCTGGAACTGCTGGACCCTTTGAGTCGATACGAATACAAGATTCAGGCGATCTTGCTGCTGGAAAAGATGCTTGATCCCGATGCCATTACGAGTCCGGTCGGAAAACTGGATGCGTTTCTTGGAATTCCAGTCGAACTGATCGTAGAAGCTCTTCAAGAACGGTATATTAAATTCTACAAAATTTTGTGTAGATGAAGAAGAAAATTTAGATGCTGAAGATTCTATGAAAATTATTGGAGTTTCATTGATTTAATCTTCATTGAATTAATCTATGTAGATTATCCATGGAGGATTTCAAAGGAGGATTCGTTCTGCAGAGTTTGCAGAGCAATTTTCTACGCAATAACATCGTAGACCTCCTGCTCCACTTATTACGAATCGTTGGCCACGTGGAGTACCTCCTGTTCGTTACTTTCCTTAATTCGATGGATAATTACAATCGCAAGGTGGAGGAAATTCGACGGGAACGAGGTACTCCTCTTGGAATTCAGGAAAACACTGTCAGAATACAAATAATATTTACAGAGAAGGAGACGGTCGATATCGGCAAGAAAATTCAGGACATAGACAAAATGTCGTTGTCCGAATACGATTTGCTTCCGGAAGAAGATAAGAAGCTGTACGTGGATGCAATTTTGCCTGTCAGAAGGGAAGAAGCATTGAGGAGGCGAGCTCGATACCTTGAGCGAATGGCGGAACGTAAAAGGAAGAAGGTCTGACTCTCTTTATGACCCCTTAACATTACTGTTATGTCTCTCATAGGGACAATTAAATTCTCCTTATATTCCCAAAACTATTCAACTTTTATTACAAAGAAGGAACAAAGTCAAAGACAGATATGTTACAATTTTTGAAATTCTAACACGAATCTTATAAAGATATTTTGTCATATAAATTGTCATACAAATTGTCATATAAAGTGTCATATAAATTATCATATAAACTGTCATATAAATTATCATACAAATTGTCATACAAACTATCACATAAATTGTCTATGAAATTACCAATGAAATTGTCATGAAACTGTCATGGTAACATCGCGTTAAATCCACAGCAGCAAATTCGTTGAGAAGTGCACAAATTTTTTGATTAGCCATTGTCTTTGATGTTGTGGAAAATTATCGTTTAACAGGAGGTTCGTGCAAGCTCGACACCGAAAGTAAAAGGAAGCACGAGGTCGAGAAAAAGCAAGATGACGGGCAGTAAAAAGTTCACGAGTTCGAAAGGTTCGAGCAAACGAGAGACAGGCGGCAGCAAAGCAACGAGAAGCAGAGATACCTCGAGACGAGGTGAGATTCGCGAAGAATTGACGCGATGAAACTGAGGTGGCGATTTTATTCGCGATTAACACTATTCCTACCGCGACCGGTCAAATGACCGTTTTCAAAATTTCGATTAGAATTTCCTGTATAAAGCGTAATTGAAACGCCTTTAAACTTCATGACTTTTCCTGAAACATGCATATAATACTTTTTTCAATATTAATTTCGTTTTTTATTGTTTATTTTTTGAGAAAAATTAGTAGTCTGTCTTACCTACCACGACCGGTCATTTGACCGGTAGAACGATTTATACCTTTTTGTAATAGTATTCTCTCAGAGGCCCAATTCCGAACTTATAAATACGTTACAAACGAAAGGTAATGCAGTTTTAGCATGATATTATCCAAAAA